GCGTGAAAATGTGCTCACATAATCAAATTGTAAAAAGGACTGGCGTTATCGTAATTCCTGCAAATTCTTATTTTTATATACAGTATAGTAGCAATATTAATAGTCAGATATTGTAGGAAATGTGCCCTTTTGCTTTCATTCAGGGATAAGAACATGCAAAAATAAGGCTACAGCCAGCAGGTATTAGCTTAGCTTATCACAGAGGCTGGAAAGGAAACAGGGGAAACACTTACCAAAAGTAACAAAATTAGCCTACCATGGACCTTTAAATCCCAGAAACCCTATTAAACCATGATTTGCAGGACATCCAGGTATTTTCGGAATATTGCATTTTAAATAATATGTATTGTGCCTTAATTAATCCAGTTTCTGGTTGAATAAGTATTTGTTTTATTTGCGTGTGAGCTACAGTATAGCTGTTTCTCCCTGTTTCCAGTTTTTATGCTAAGCAAACATTCTGCTGTCTGCAGCTACATATTTCTTATATTTCTCACCTTCTTATCTTATTCTCGTAAAAATATCAAACTATCGTTTTAAACTCCATCTGCCCTCTGCTTTCAGATGGGCAGCAAATCTGGGAGATGGAGGCCAATGTGGACAGAGACAAAACACAAGCTGTGAGTCACACATGCTATAAGGAATACGCATCATTTTACATGTCCAATTATGTGAATTTGTATATATATATATTTAATCATCAAACCAACGGCATCTCTTACAAATTCACATAAACAGAAAGCAAAACATGTCACCACACACAATGTGCTACTTTTTACATTTTTGAAAGACTTTTTCATTTCTGATACTGATCTTGATCCTAAACACAAAAGCAAGATAATGGGGGCATCAGCCGCCTCTCTGTTTCAACATGACAGTTTATCTGACACATGATCATCTTTTCTGTGCTGAATTCTCATCTAGAACATGCTATTTGTTGAGGTCCCTCCGTTCCGAAATCGGACTATTTCCCACCCAGCAAAAGTCAACTTCTACGTGATCAATGGGAAGAAGAAACGCAGTCAGCCTCAGCACTTAATCTACACTCCGGGGATAGGTAAATATCTGCCAACCGTCTCAGATCTGTCTATACTGGAAAAAGAGGGGTACCTTGAATGTTGGAGAAATGGGATGGTCACTAAATTGTCAACAGTGTCCAGGAAATAGCTCAACTTTAAACAGCTTAGATACAACTGCTATATTATTAAAGAAATGTTACACTGATGTTTTACAATTTTACAAGAAATCAGAACACACAAGAGATGAGTCAGTCATTAAACTGCAGCCACAGCTCAGGTTTTTGCGTAGGGGCATGACTCTCACTTGCTCTAAAGAGGAAAGTCTCTCAACAACAATGCACCACCTGCAGTACATGCAATATACAAAATTGAAATGCACCCACACGCTTTCACACATGTTTATCAGGAAACAAATAGCATAATTAACATTTTCGGTATACTTTTCCTAAAATTATCTGTTTTGGTTTCTGTAACCAGATAATGATAGACCTACATTGATGTTTCACCTTTGTTTTATTTGTTCTAGCCATTAAAGCAGAACCGCTGGATGACTACCAGCTGAATACGTATGGTTACTCAGACAATCAGCCCCTCACTGGCCTGTCAATGAAGTCACTCTACCATCAGCTGGAGCAGGAGAGCAGCCTTCAAGCCTTGAATGTTTCTCCAACAATGTACCATCTAACAACTGCAGACCCGAGAGCCCACGTTGTAGTCCCAGATCCCCTGGACGAACAGCCACTCTATTACGGTTCTTTGGTCAACAACCCCGGGCTGTACCACTCTGCAAATCAACGTTACAGCGGGAGTGGTCCCATCCTCCTTGGCAGTTCCCCGGTAGCATCCCACGCTGCCTCCACTCCCAGCCCCTGTGTGGGTGCCAGAACCGCTGTGGGCAAACTGGATGAAGGTCCTCAAGTTGGTGATTCATACGAGGCCTGTTTTGTGTCAAGACATCAGAGTTTTGTGCAGACGGCGCTACCACTGGGGAAGTCTCCACCATCAAGATACATCCAAGGTCCTGTCCAAGGGAAGGCTGGAGGCCGAGTGGAGTCTCTGACCATGAGGAACCATGAGGAAGGAGCCCCAGAGAGGGTCACCGTCAAACAGGAGAACCTCCGCTATGCTTACCTGGAGGATGGTGAGTGTTTTTATTACATAATGTCATTCTTTACCAAATTACGTTTCATCCTCACGTTTTGTGTGTACAAATGAGTGCAACACGACGAATACCTTTGAGGTGCTTTCATCCCACAGGCCATAAGACTATTTAACACCTGAGCTTGCACTATTTTTATAGGTTTTTTTAATATTTATTTTGTTATGTCTTGTAAATTGCACTGTTGAGGAACATGCGATCAAACTGTTTCATAGTACATTACATAATTACACATTTTTTACCAGATCCAAATCACAGGCCTTTTAGTTTGTGTATCCAACAGTATTGAGAATAATAGGCCCTTTCCAAGGAAGACCTTTTGACTCATTACAATAGTAAAGCATATCTTTAAGTAGTTAAATGAATAATGGCTGAATTCAATTTGGATACTTTAATTACATGAATGGTTATCGTGCATGCTGGTGTACTGTCACAGGCACCTAAACACTATAGATCAGAGAGTTAGCAGTCACACATGTGCTTTTCCTGCTAAAACAAGTCAAACTTGAGCACCACAGTTACATCATCTCTCAATCAGTCAGCAACTCTGATTCATTCTGAGTGCAGTCTATTTGAATGCAGAAGGATCTGTTTCTATCTCCGCTTCAGCTTTTATTGTTTCCTTGAAAAATATTTAGCTGAGTTCTTGAAGATACAGTACTGCAACAATTGCGTCAACAAAATACTAAATGGCAGAATATACTATAGAACAAAGTAGATGAGTAATTGTGGTCCGGACTGCAAACGCATACAAGCACATTGCAGCTGTACGCTTTCAAATCCTGCATTGTGGTTTGTGTTGGGCTTTTCTATCCAATTTGCTGTCTCTTTCAGACTCACTCACACAACCGAATAACACTCACTGCTCTTGTAGAATCTTCATGCTCATGTTGAAATAAATCAAATATAACTCGGTTATGAATTTTGATGTATTTGAGGATGAAAAGAGGGAAGAAACAACACCACCATGAAGTTATGTACCCTGGCCTTATTTGCTGTAGGACAAAGTTTCTGTTTACACCTCTGTGATGGAAGGCAGAAACAGGAAGTTTACTGAATAGGCAAATACATGCACACACACACCTGTGGTGAAACGGAAAAAAAGAACCAGCAATGTCCTTTGTTCTGTTGCCTGATACCGACTGTGGTAAACATGAAAGTTTTAGCAGCTACAACAATCTGTTTTACCACACGTCAGCAGCAAATGGATATGTTATTATTTATAGTAATTTGTATTTATTATGAGATCCTATTGATAAAATGTTATTCTTTCAACAGTACTTGAAAAAAAATAAGATCACTGATCTAGTGATACTTAATTACTTCAGGGACTGCAAGTCATCATTGGACTGATGAATACATTAATTTAGAACATTTCTGGTGGCCTTAACCACACATCACATGCAAGTTCAAAGGGGGAACGTTTGCCGCCCTCTCTCCCTCGTTTCGGTTCCTTTACTCTTCACTATCTATACTCTTTGATATATTTGACTTTGGCGACCACTGCTGGTACTATTAAAAACAAATTGATGTAGATCACTTTATCCCAAGAGCTTCCACTAAGTAGAACAAGTGACTTGAGGATGAATTAGGTGACACCAATTTTGACTGGAATAGTCTCTTATGTTTCACAAACAATCATAATTTTAATATCAACAGGGGCTTTAACCATAAAACAAATGATTATTGAAATTAGAAACAGTTTTATTTCGAAGTAGGATTGCCCATAAAATAATGTTTTTTTGGTAATTTGGTGCATACCAAACAACGCAGTGCAAATGTCAAGAGTCAAAAATAGTGATTTATGTAAGCTACGCTATTACATAAAATAAGCATCTTGTCTTAATTTATGTCAGCATGGTTGTAAATAAGAAAGTCGCTCACCCCTGTCTGTAATGTTTTACAGTGAATGACATCATACGCAGAGACATGAAAGGACACAATGGAGAGTGAACCTGGAGGCCTGCAGCTGCCATGATGTTCTTCAGATCAAGCATAAAATGAGTGTTCTTGAGGAAAGCATGTTTCAGTTATCAAAGAAAAATCTTGATTGGTGGCTGACATTTATGACTTTAGACTTTTTAGCCCCATACTGTTTATCTATTGTGTCTTTCTTTTATGTTGTTTGACTTGTCTTTATTCATATAATTGTACAATTGCTCTTTTTAAGCATGTATAAAATATTTTATATAAAATGAAATCTGTTTATATGAATCAGTGTGTATTCAATGAAGTAAGATCTGGAATAAACTGAATAATAAATAAAATATTCTAAACTACCACAATTTTTTTTTTTCCCCCCTGATAACAAATGTCTTTGTCTTTGAAATAGCTTTTCTTGTGTGGAAGTCATACATCAGACACCATTATAAAGTTAATATAATATAAGATTTATCAAGTGTAAACATTTTTTAAGTATGATTATTTGGCTTAACACCAAAATGTAAGGGTTAGGTTGGGGTTAGTCATTCAATTCAAATTTGGAGATACATGGCTTTTACTAGACAGACATTATAAAAATTGTAATCTGACAATGTTTACCACTCAGATGTAGTGGGTTCTTACAAAACGGAAAAAGTACCTCTACTTTGAAACTTAAGTAGGCCTAGGCTACAGAACTTGAGTAAATGTACTTAGTTGCATCCCACCCCTGGTGACGATGGCTAGTAGCTACAGCTCCAAGATATAAATACCATAAAACCTTTTTTACGAAGCCTATCTTTATGTTTTGAAAATGTTATCTTAAATAGTGCAAGAGATATTTGTTTTTGTTTTTATAAAAACGCTAGAGGGCGACATTTTCAAAACAATCATTCCCCGGTTCGGAAGTGGCTCACAGACTTGTTACGTCACTACCGTTTGGTGAATTCCTTTTCCTCTCTTTTGTGTGCATCTTTTCCTTTACAGCTTTACTAACATTTGTGCCCTGATATTGAAGTTAACATCCCTGTAACGGCTGAAGGAGAGTGAAGTGTTCTTGTTACTGGTGAGCTTCTTCTTCCACACACTACTGTCTTCATGGTTTTAATAATGTAACCACACTGCTGTGCTACGTTGTAAATCATTCGTTGCAGAGTCTATTTACATTAGCCTCCGATGTACAGTAACGTTTTTGTTTTATCAGCGTGATGCAATGAGAGCACAGAACATCGTTTGATTCACATTTCCACGCTTTTGTTACAATTCAGTGTTTATAGTCTGGTTGTGGATACAATACGAGTCTGGGAGCCATGAAACCCTCATTGTTTAGGAATTACTGACATGTTGTTAATCTGCCTGCTAGGGTCTCTCTCGTCCTGTGGCAGCTTTGCATTAAATCCATGTTTATGACAGTACCAACAGAGTTATTAGAAACATTGAATAACACATTGAAATGTGTTTTTACATTGTGAATCAGTGCAGGGTTTCTATATAGTACGCACAAATAATAGAACATTCAGTATGATTATTTGGCTTGGTAAAATCAATAAGCATATGTACATAAAATGCCTACATAGGATTCCATGGAGGGTTTGTTATTAATATTGTGCTGTTACTGGGGGAAGTATACATTTATATACTTAAGACTAAAACTATATTTGAACTACTGGAAGAATGAGTTAAATCTCATAATGAAGTCACTGAAGAAAGCACTTACTTTGATTTGAACTACTAAATATGTTTACATTAATTTGAAGAGCGTTGTTTTTTTAAATGAAATGTTGTAATTAGTATTGATCTTGCTCACCCTGTGTCAGAAAGTCTTTAGTGAATAAGACATGTTAATTTGCCTTGTCATGTACTTAATAATAATTGAAGAATAGATCTTGTTGCTAACCGTGTTCCTGTTGTTTGCAGAGATAGGTTGGTGCACGGAAAAATAACCAAACAGACCATCAGCAGCATCATGTCTGCAGAAGTGGACCTGTCCCCTCCAGAGGTCCCTGAACCCACCTTTCTAGAGAGCCTCCTGCGCTATGGGCTGTTTCTGGGTGCCATCTTCCAGCTCATCTGCATCCTCGCTGTCATCTTCCCCACATCCAAGGGACACGAATATGTGAGTAGACACCAAGAAATTGGGAGGGATAGGGGATTCACATGAAACAAATGTTGCAGTTGATACCAAAATGTCACATCTACATTCTGCTGATTTCTTTCAATTTAACCTATTAAAATGGTCTGTTGAATAGGGATGAAATATGAATAGAATATATAGAATATATTCTAAATCTGATATAAAAAATAACACGATCAGAAACATTTGCAGCATGGAGCAGCTGCAGATAGAACAGCCAGGATTTTTGATTTTGACTTTTTTTCCTATCTTGCTTGACAGATCTCAAAGCTCTGCAATTACACAATTTTGTGTAAGAAATCTTGCAGATTGTTATTATTCAGTCCTCAGAAAAAACAGACATCAGTTATAAAGAGTAGTGCAGAATATCTTATTTTTAAATGTCCATGAAGACAGGGCCACTAAGGGCTTCTGCCACGATCTCCATACTTTTAACTGTCAGGAGAGATTATTTATAGACAAGAGCAATTAAATCCACGGTCTCATAATTCTATTTTCAGATGCACTCATTACTCTCCACAGTATGTCGCCATTTCATCCTTTACAGCAGCCTGCTGTCAGTCTGCCTTGCCATACAAAGACAGAAACAGTGCTGACAGGGGGAAACGCGTCTGGATTTGTTTGGCTTGTGTGTGTTTCTGAGTTTTATCCATAAAATTCTCCACCACCAATGTAGAAAAGAAAAGAAGAGATAACAACAAAGTGGACGAGAGCTGAAGAAGGCCTTTTGATGCAGTTTTTATTCATGTACATGTGCATCTTGCTAATATAGATTTTTTAAATAATTTCAACTACATTTGTTTTATTTATTTCAATTTTTATGACGTGCATTCTATGTAATCTATTTTTTCAATCTAATTCTACTAATATTTTCTTATATTTGTTTCAATTATTTGGCATCCTCCCATTGTTTTTATGTACATTCTGTGTCTGTTTTCCATATTGTAAAGCACTTAGCATTTCTTTATGAAGGAAGCTATACTCAGTTTATTATTATTATTCATTTAATTATTATTATTGCTCCATAAATTCAGGGAACTGCCTATAACAATTCCATTCACTTGTTAACACATAGTCTGAGGTATCTGGAGTGATGAAGAACTGGATTACTAAAATGTATAAGACTCAGCCCCCATCTAAAGTTTGTTGTATGAAACACAGACTCAAAAAGTACAAAATGTACTTGAAAATAGTGTTTTGGCAAATTCCGTATGTGACAGTTTCAGCTAACAAACACACCATCCAAATACATCTTCAAAACAAAAACACAGTTATCTAATCGTGTGATCAAGCAGTCATGTGTCCTAGACCATATTTAAGGTGACTCAGAGGATTTATTTTTTAAATAACAGGGTGTTGTGTTTGCTCAACAGGAAGAGACTGAGTTCACTGATGGCAAGGCCACCGAACAGCTGAAGAAACCTAAAGGACTGACCCCGCAGCTTCGGCAGAAACCAAAGAAAGAGAGCAAGAAGAAGCGATAGATAGTGCTGCGTGTGTGCATGTGTTAAGGTTTGTGTGAATGCGTGTGTTTGTCGACATCCGTCAATCAACATTAAACGGTTACAATTATCACTGCAGGATATGAAACACTAATGTTATATTACAACATTAAACATGTCTACATTTAATTTGAGACACCTTGACCTTTATATTGACAACAGTATTAAAAAGAGCAATAGTCATGGCGTGTTTATGCAGCTTCATATTTCATTGCATATTTGTTTTGCAATTGTATTTTATAATAAATATCATTGATTGAATTGTATTTGGATTTCAACAGAAAAATAAATCCACTCTGTAGTCATTCACTTCCGCTGTTTATATTAATTGCAACATTTCCATTTGGTCAAATGAGTCAGAATTAGATCATTGTTTTTATATTAACTCACTTCGTATGACAGAATGCTTCATGACTTCCTGTTAAAGCTACAGACTTGGCCCCACAATAGCCTGTTCAACTACAGGTAAGGTATATTTAACTTGTTATTTTTCTCTTTTAAAGGTTTACTTGATATTCATCGACCTTATAAAGGGGGTTAAGATAAGTAGAGCTATGTTCTACTTAATAAACAAATGAAAATAAATCTGTAGTGATATTTGAACGAATGTTAACATTCATTTTTAAACTGTTATAAAATCCGTAATTCCTATTCTTAGCTTTTTCACACTTTCATCCTCTAAAACCTAGAGCTCTGATGGACTTTAAAACTTCCCAATGAATATATCAAATTAAAAACAAAATGTTTTCAGACTGTAGTGGTTCCATGTAACTGTGTGTCAGTATGAATTAGGAAAAATGTGCCTGTTTAAAACGAAAAGAGTAATAAGAAACACTTAATATATAATAAAAAATAACTATTTGAGTAAAAAAATGCATTAATAAATATAAAAAGGTATAGGGCCTACCTAGCTGTATCAATCTAAGGGTTCAAGCCAAACCTTTTGTCAGCACAAACTTGCTTTACATTGTCACTACCTCAAAAGTAAATATTTACTATTGTTTATTTATTAGCTTTTATATGCCTATGTGTATTTGAGTATAGTTCAAAACCATGTAAACGTATTTTTAACACGTGAGGCCACACAACATTTGAGTTTGGGTATCAATGCGCAGCCTGAAAATTACCGTTCAAAACAGCGTTGTGAGTGTCGCTTAGCAACCGGTTCTGACAGCAATAGCATTTGTCAACGTTTCTGAATGATACGTGAAATACTGTACAGCAACTGAGTATTTATGTCGTGTTGTTAAACTACTTAAATCAGATTCAGATAGAAAGCTTCTGGATCGTGACAGCAGATTATATTTTATAAAAGCTAAACGTGGGTGTTGTCGTGCCTTCCAACGCCTCGGTGAATTAATGTAACAATCACGGCGTCGAGTTACGCAACGCGACGTGAATCCTCTGGACTTCGCCATCGTTGCGTGGAAAGCGTACAACTCAGGCTCATCATATTTTTTGCGCTCTCGTGTTTCGTCAGTGATGCACTATCCCGTGCCTCCCCCCACACGAGGCATGTCTCCTCCACACCACAGCTCTACTCCTGCCGCTTCCTCGCATGAATTTACCACGCCGTCTCTTCCCAGCTGAAAGGATACCTCTCCGCCGGGTTGGACGCTGTTTGTCCGGCCCACCGACCGTAGCCGCCCCCGGCAGCTGTGCCCTCTGCTCCCGAAGGCAGTCCCCGTCATGACCTCCCCTTTCTGCGATTCTGCCGATATCCGCTAAATGGGCTTGGTGACTGGGCAGAGGTTTCCACAGCAACTGGCCATCCGCTTCCAGTATTTATCTAATGAGGACAGCCTTCAGGATTTAACAGGAGTCCTCGCTGCGCGTCTCTGATTTTTGGGCTGAATCTCCAGACGCGTCAAAGGTGAGTAAATTAGCAGCGCTTAATTGCGAGAAAATATGATTTATTTCGGGATTTCATTTAGAGTATTTGGTTTGTTGCTGCTCATGTTCCCATATTGATGTTTTACACACAGCCTCTCTGACACTGTCTAGTATTTCATTGTTGCACAGGCCATTCAGTCAGAGCTGCTCGCACATTTGCTCAGTGCCACTCAGCCTGTGCCAGGGCTCCGTTGTTGTTGACGATCTACTACACCCCCCAGACAAATGCGCACTGTGTGTGCAAATGTCCTATTTTGGATTTTCTCACGGGCAAAACACCATCAAGGATGAGGCAGTAAATCGACTCCGAACATAAAATTAAAGCCAACAATCCATCGAAATTCAAAATGGAGCTGTAACAGCACCTGTTTTGATTCATCAGGCCGCATATGCGCTGTATATGAGCCGAAGCCAGCCACAGCCACAGCAGCATTGTCGCCCTTTACCTCCCTGTTCCCATTCACAAATCCCAGTTTACGTGCCTTATGTGGATCAGTTTGGCAAACAGGGTTGATGTTTTCTTTCTTTTTTGTATTCCCTCCCCATAGCAAAGACGTTTATCATTGACAGCTGCTACTCCTGTAGGCAGCTACTACCCCACCCCTTGTTTCTTTGAAAGCAGCTTTGCTGACAACTGGTGTTTAATCCCGCGGAAATAGAATTTTAATTATGTAGCTAATCTATTTACAGTCGGTTTTGGGATTTGGACAAATTCCAGCTAATTTCCATAGTGCAGCAGAATCAGGTTTGCTAAGTAAGACTTGAATCATGGGAGAGCTCAACATGGGATTTTTAACACTGGACAACCAGATGCTATAATATGCTAGCCTCATTTTAAAAGCACGAGGTAAGCATAGCCTTAAAGAAATAACATCATAATACCTTATTGGATTGAATGAATTTCTCAATTTGTTTTACAAACTGAGATTGTTATAATAACAACAGTGGGTCAAAAACACATTGTTGGCCTTCACAGGGCAGTAAGAAAGAGAAGCTTGTCTGGACTTGTTGGGCTTTGACCAAAGATCATTCTTCATTATAGATTAACCTACTAATGTTTTCTCGATGTTTCCATGAAATGATTCCCAAAGCCTTAAATCTCTTCATATATCTTGCTTTGTCTGGTCAACTAGTTCGGATATAATCAATTTACTATCACAAAGACAAAGAAACTGCACACAGAATGTAAGTCTTCAGAATTGAGGAGCTCACTTTTTATTATTTTAATTAAAAAAATGATAAGCAATAAGTATTCAATAGAAATTGTCGCTGTTTATTTGCCCTTTGGTTAACTAGTTGATTCATTGTCTAATTGTTTGCAGCTTTAGATGGTTTGGTCAAACATTCTCTTGTTCCTGTCAGAGCAATTTAATGTACATTTTTAGGGGGAATAAAGTATAACCCTATTTGTTTATTTGAATGTGCTGTAATTCACAAAGAAAGGCTGGCTGTGGAGTTAATTGATTTGCTAAAAGTGTGCCACCTCTGTAATGAAACATCCATCATGCCCTCTTTCGTACTCTTTGTCCTCCTTTATAGAGGCATGCTGTAGCAGCTTCTCCTCATAGCCTGGATAATGTTCAGTCTCCAGTTAAAGATGGACAGAAAACGGAAGTGTGTTTTATCAGCTGAATGCCACAATCCCCCTCTTGTCCTCCTCTTCCTTTTCTTCTTTTGTGCTTCTCCTCTGTGTGTTTTGTCACTGAGGAAGAGGGTAGTTGAGATGGGAGAGCAGGCACATACTTTGCAAACTGAGCGGGTCCAGCAAAACATTGGGGAAAAAATAACAGAGAATATCTGATCAAGGCGTCCACTGTTCTAAAATGGGACAAATCTTGATAGCGACATGTGAATGCATCGGTTTTCTTTAGTCCCCTTTAAAGAAACTGCCCGTTCTCTCTTTTTAACCCAACCTATTTATAGATTATCTGTGTGTTATGTATGTGGACTGCACTGTCATGTTATTATCATGCAGCATATAGCAGTACAGGACAGTGAATGTGCACATTTCCGCTTGTTTTGATCTTGAGGAGCCATCATTGTCTCTCTCTCTCTCCTCTCTCTCTCTCTCTCTCTCTCTCTCTCTCTCTCTCTCTCTCTCTCTCTCTCTCTCTCTCTCTCTCTCTCTTCTCTCTCTCTCTCTCTCTCTCTCTCTCTCTCTCTCTCTCTCTCTCTCTCTCGCTGCTCCTCCCCAGGGCAAACTGTAATTTCCCATTTGACTGAAACATTGGCTCCAGCCCCTTCTCTTTCTGCAGCACAGTGGCAACTGTTACCGTCTGTTGTGATTCAGTGAGGTTCGTCATGGCCAAATGTGCTTGCCTGACCAGAAACGTAAAGCGCGAGTGCTCAGCTGGAGATCGAGGATTACTAAGTGCTGATTAACCAGACAAATCGTGAGATAGACTAAACTCCCTTTTGCAAACCTATTCAACATCAAAGGTAGGCTGTATTTAAAGGTGGGGTAGGTCATTTTGGAGAAACCAGCTCGAGTGCGCTAGAATTTGAAAATACACAGCCGGAAAAAATCTGCCACTTCCTTATAGAGCCCCTCCTCCAACACACACAAACGCGCACATGACCAATGAGGGCACGAGATAAGTTTGTGCACAGATGGAAAGTTGACAGGCAGGTAGGCCATCCAATCATTTTAGCCGGGCCGGCTAAAATGATTGGTCGTGCTTTTTACAGTACTACGGCTTCCACAGATGACATTTTTTTTATGGATTTTTTGTCAAAGCACTTAAGATATTCATTGCTATCGGGATGTCAAGAGCATTCCATGGAATATAACAAAAAGTGTATCTCGAGCCGGTTTCTCAAACTTACCTACCCCACCTTTAAGCGCAGCACTTTGAAAACATAATTTTCTGCAACAAATTGGTGCGGTTTTATTGTGGAACCAGCAACTTAAGATATTTTACGAGACTACAGTGTGTAGATACCTGGAAGAAAAAGGTGCACCATATTGACTTTAGATCATCAAACATTTAAAAGATGTGTTAATATTTGTTCTTTCTTTATAGCGCACTTACCTGCTAACTGTAGACTTTGGTAGCTCCTATCCAGACTTATAGTGAAAGTATATGTTCCTGACCCAACTCCAATATTGAAAACAAAATCCGCCGACCTCTGTCTTTACACAAATGCATTGGGTCTGAACATTCTGAGTTAGACTTATCAAGGAAGTATCCTGCAATGTCATTTCAGTAACACATTTCCTTGTTTTGCTAAACAATGGTTCCTAGCTGAGCTGTGGTGGAGGCATAGTATAACATGAGAGACTTAAAGTCTAGAGCTGAATTCAAATTGTAAACATATGACCTCATGATGTTGTTAAATAATAAGTCAAAGGACCACCAATGTGATTACAATTCATCTAGATGGGAGCATGAATGTCTGCAAAATATTTCATGGCA